GAGCCAGACTTGCAGGAAATAAAGCATTGGCAAAATAGAAGAAAACCAAACTGAAATGTCACCTGTCTGAAGAAAGGAACGCATTGTGGCTTAAACTAGCTGCAGTTATGGAAAAAGCGTTCGAATACAGCAACGTTAGGGGAGCATATCAGCATATTAGCATATTAGCATTTTTCTTTAGTCCGGCAATACAGCGGAAGAAATAATAACAGTGCGTATTTCGTTAGTTCGAAGGATGGATCGCGCACGGTCACAGGACTTAAATATGCCAAGCGATCTTGGGAACATTTCCACCAGCTTATGCACCGACCCGAGCCAGCTACTTCAATGCTCTGCTTTTTCGAAGTAGGGCGTCTGATTATGGCAAACTAGCGAAGAGATTACGAATGCTTTCAAAAAAGGACAAAATGATAAAGCAGCTGGACCAGAAGAAATTCACGTGGACCTGTTAAAACATATGCCTGATACAGGACTGCAGGTGTTGTCGAACAATGTTCATGAGATTTGGCGAAGAGACAGTACCGGAAGAGAGGTGCGATGCTTATTCCAATACACAAAACGGTGTTATATCAGAAGTCCGAAATTGCAGAGGAATCAGTCTCCTCTGTGTGGCCCTGAATGTCACTGAAAGAATTATCGTCAGCAGAATCTGACCCTACAGAGAGTATACTACCAGAGAAGATTAATATAGATTCCGTCTGAGCCAATCGACCATATTTTAAAATTGTGCTTTGGCCGGAAACGAACAACTACTACCACAAACCGCTGTTCGTTGATATCTCGACCTTGAGGCAACTTCTCAAATCGCGGAACCCTGCACGAGCTGCTAAGAAATGATGGCGTGCGAGACAAAATTGTTAACATCTAGAAGAACATCCATACCAAGACAATGGCAGTGGTAGGAACTGGTTCAGCGGTCTGAGAAAGCTTTCCGTTTGACAGCGGATTAGGACAAGGGTCGGTCATCGAACCGATGCTATTCAGCTATTGTATGGATATCGTGATGACAGAGGCAGCTAAGAACATTGATAGCGAAGCGATACTCCAACCATCGGGATGCCAGTTATAAGATGTGGATCATATAACGTTGCGGTCATTGTAATGAACCCGGAAGAACTTCAGAACGCGTTGACGGCAATAAAAATAGCCAGTGCCAAGTACGGCCTTAAAGTGAAACCATCGAAATGCAAAGCCCTTCACAGTAAGCTCCAGAAAATGTCAATACGGTGAAAATTTATGGGGAAGATGTGCAGCATATAATAAAATTCTGCCATCTTGGATCGATGATTATTAGTGGCGGAAGCTGTGAAGTTGATGTCCAGGAAAGAATCCGAAAAGTTCGAATTGCATATAACAAGTTGCAGAAAAATTTGTGGAACGGATGCCACTACATCAGTGAAAGTCTTCGTATATATGGCAGTTATTCGACTAACATTGAGGTATGCCGCAGCAACGTGGACCATTACCATGAACGAAACGAATGCGCTGGTCGTATTTGAACGCTCTTGTTGGCGCAAAATACTCGGCTATTGATTGACTGATAAGATCACGAATGCTCAATTGCTGGAGTACGTTAGAACAAGCACAAATACAGTTCGCCGGAGAGGGA